TTTATTTATTTATTTATTTATTTATTTATTTATTAAACATCCAAACAGGCTGTGATAGCCTAGTTACATGGAGTGTAATTTATAACAAAATAATAAGAAATACTGATCAAGTAAACACAGTCGAGTTATAATGTACCTAAATAATAGTATCACTACAAAATTTAAAGTATGTACATACAGGGTGTATTTATTATCTAATTATATAGAAAACTGTAGGAAATGATCAACGAGCATATTGTAAAACAATTTATATGGGTTAGAAAAATCGAGATTAGTAAAAACGTTTATTGAATTTGCAAGTCGAAACATCGCAATGAGAGGGGCTCGGACGGAGACTCTAACGGTAGGGACATGAAACATTAACGGCGAACGGGTACGAAATGGCGGCGCATTGAAGGGTACTAACTGTAAGATATTTGGTTCATTTATCAAATCATTAACAACCTTATACAAAAACATGATCTGCGCAACTTTACGCCTAATGTCCAATGAGATTATCCCAAATTCTGTTCTAAGTTGCGAAGATCTAATGCAATTGTAATCAGGGCGCACATGATATTTTTTAAAATAAAGATATCTTAGAAATTTATTTTGAATCTTTTCAACTGAGCTCAAATAAGTTTGGGTCTGTGATTGCCAAATAATTGAAGCAAATTCAAGTTTAGATCTAAAAAATGTAAAATAGAGAATTTTCAATGTTTGTATATTTGTGAAAACTGCAGTTTGTCTGATAATAAATCCTAACATCAAACACAATGGAATTCTGTCTCCTTTTAGAACAAAAAGAAACAACATGGCACTTCTTGAAATTGAAAAGTAATTTGTTATTGACACTCCAGTTGACAATACTATCTATGTCCCTCTGTAGTGCCACACAATCTCTAACGGTTTTAATTTTTCTATAAAATTTTAAATCATCAGCATAAAGTAGACATTTCGAATGCTCACAAACCATTGGAAGGTCATTAATAAACAATAAAAACAATAATGGTCCCAAGTTTGAACCCTGAGGCACCCCAGAATTGGCGTGATATTTGCCTGAAGTGTTTCCATTGTGTTCAACAACAAAATATCTGTTCTGTAAATAACTCTTAAATAAATTTAAAGTGTTTGGCGAAATACAATGTCTATGAAGCTTTCTAAGTAATAAATCATGATTAACTTTGTCAAACGCTTTTGTAAAATCAGTATAGATCGCATCAATTTGATGTTTTTCCTCAAATGCCCCATATATATCATTAGTAAATAAAAGTAAATTAGTATTTATTGACTTTTTTGCAACAAATCCATGTTGCTGTGTTGAAATATTTTTCTCCACATGCTGATACAGTTTTGTATAGATAATGTGTTCAAATAATTTGGCTGGGGCACACAAAATATTTTAAATACGTTAGTTGGCTTGAGCATTTCATGGAGATTATTTTTCCCCTTTACACCATGCAAATTAAATGAATACCTTCGGAGATATAGCAAAATCAAAATAATGCGCAACGAAATTAATTTCGTGTCACCGTGATTCGACCGGGCCGCGCGGGCGCCCCGTGACCCCGCGCCACGCGTCCGAGCCGAAAGTTTATGTAGTGTATCAGTGTATGGTGGAATTGTGTATCTTATATATGCCTACAGAAAAGTCCGCGATGGCATATGTCTATATGTTAAAGATAACATACTACCTATGTCCATTTTAATACTTTAAAAAAATTGGCAATTATAAAGTGGTAATGTAAAAGCTATTTACACAAATACGGTATTAATCCTTATCATTTTAAATAAGTTAGAGGCTTTAAGTATTTCATGCACATTATTTTACTCTTTTACACCATATAATTTAAATGAATATCTTAGGAGTAATCGCAAAAAATTACGGACGCGAGAATAAAATTCAAGCGCCTCGCTTCGTTTGATGCGATTGCCGACTCTCCCCCCGCACCATCTTACCTACTGTTTAGCTAATAAGCCGAACGATAACGCGCGCGTGATCTTTTAATAAACTGACTTGGAGCGAATGGAGGTGACGAATGACGACTGTGTTTTCTTTCTGGGTGTTGTTGGAAAGTTATAATTGCGTTCGATATTTTAAGGTCACATTTTTGTTTTGTATTTATTGTCATTAGGTAGTCGGAATATACATAGATACTTGCAAACATCTTGCAAACATACTTTTATTTCATTGATTTTTAATAATTTGTTTGTTTTTTTCTTATTGTGGGTCATTTAAAACTTCATAGTCGCATTTTTGTTTCGTGTTTGTTTTATTTAGTTAGTTAGATACCTAACTACTTACTTATTAATTAAAATTGATAGTCCTTTCACATTGTTTTAAATTTAAAGGTTATGCATTTTTAGTTTTGAGTTCGTTTGTTTGTTGTCTTTAGGTATCGTGAATTATTTTAAAATTAATATTAGGGTCGCATTAGATGAAAGATGATTGATTTTTTGTTTGTTACGATTTAACTCAAAAACTACTCAACCAATTTTACCGAAAGCTACATCTTCTCGGAGTAACATAGGCTATTTTATATTTGCCCGTGCGAAGCCGGGGCGGGTTGCTAGTACTGAATATATTAACCAAATTAACAAATCTTATGAAAGTTGTTCAAAATGTCCATGCACCTTGGAATGCAAACCTCACATCAACAAACTAAAGATTCCGTCACTCGACGGATGACGGATAAAATTAGAATCATTTCTTGTCTGGTTAGCTACTTCCTGAATTCTTTCAAATTGTAATGTTCAAATACCAGTTAACAATAGAGGCACAAGAAAATTAATATATTAAGTAAATATGGTCACCACTGTATATATGCGACTCTTAACACTTTGTGAGAATTAAAGGCAGTAACACTGGTTGCATATCTAAATAGGTTTTATTTAGTTGAACATTTTCACATACAGAAAAATAACATAAATCATGTAAAAATATGGCAAATATTTATAAGTATTAAATTATCGCTTCCTATATTTCCGTAACCTCCCTTAAACTCTTTAAATTCCTGAAAAAGGCAAAGATGAGATATCTAGTGATAGTAAACAAATATTACGTTAAATAATTAAAACAGTAATCGTCTTTTTGTTCTTTGGGCATAATTTTAGTAATGCAGAGTACCTGATTGTTATTTATTTAAAATATTATTGTTAATAATGAAAAGCATGTAGAACGTTGGCTGGATAGAGCACAAAAGCTTTTTGCGCGAGTTCGGCAAGCGTATGCGGAAGAGATGATTAGCGTGCGGGAATTCCGACGAATATTACACATATTAGGTTGTGTTGTGTTAAGGCCTCAGAATACTAGGGCAATTGTATTTGGCACGTTTTGCTTAGACAATTTGGTTTTTGTAGGTGTTAAGATGTACGTGCGAAACTGTTAATTAGAGTTTCTATCCAACGTTGTACATAGGCGTTTCTCGAAATTCCTCCCTGATACTGTTGCTAATTACTGTTCCTGTTGATGTTGAGCAATAAATGAGTCTGAAAAATTAAAGAAGAAAATTATGTCACATGGATATCGGAGTCTTTTGCCTGTCCTGTACTTACCTGACCCGATACTGATAGAAAGAGTAGCCGTGTAGCCGCTGCAATTTATATGAGCCGAAGGCACTTGGTGAGCTGTCCTGATTACGTGATCTTGAGGCTGTGAGTACGTTTCCATTTGTTATAACATTTTGCTGTCTTGTGCAAACCTCAAAGAAGTAGTGGAGAGCTGTTACCGTCGACCATTTTGCCTTGAAAACTTTTGATTTTCTATACTGCAAGTTTTACAATTTTTTAACAATCTATTTCTCACAAATATTTATTAGAGAACAAATATATGAACAATTTATTTACCTAATTGTAATAATATTTATTGGGCTGAGGTGGTAATTGATGTATGCAATTTTGACTTTTGGTGTCAATAAAATCATA